AGAAACAAATTTTAGATAACTATGATTATCATAAATTAATAAAGTCTAGACGCATTTTTTGTTTAATAATTAGTGGGAAATTTATAACAAAAAGCAAACTGAATATAAGTACCTTAAGCGGAAATAAAAATCTTTGTGAAAAATATTTGCACAAAGACATTAAAGTAAATCCTAAACAGACTTATCAACTATTAAAAACTTTCGTGTGTTCTATTTTTGTAGATTAATAGTTTACCATATTAAGTACCATATTAAGTCAAAAAGGGTAAACTATTTTAAATTTTCTGAAAATTTTTTCACTGTCTTTATTTTTAAAAGTCCTTCATTTCTTTTCTTTTCTTATGATTTTAAGTAAAATTCGACTTATCAAGAAATATTTTTGAGTACCCTAATCTAAGAAATGCTTGAAAGTTTTTCAAAATATGATAGTAAAATTTTCGAAGAGAAACAGTTGAGAAAAGGTAGTCGTCTCCAAATTGAATACATAATAGACTTAACTATTATTTGGTTTAAGAATTTATAAATGAATCATAACTAATTTCAAATCATAAAACAAAAATTCCTCCAAAATGTCCCACGGGTCATTAGGGGTTCGTAGAAATGTTACAGGTGTTCTGAGATTTACTGTTTTTTAACATGTAGTATGTTTCTAAAGATATAATTTTACTATTTATTTAGATCCAAGCAATAATCCATTTGTGATTTAGTATTTTGGTTATTTTGCGAAATAATTAAATAAAACGCTAAAGAAAAAATAAATTGAAAAATATAAGCCTTGTTTTAGTCTTGCAAATTAAAATTCCTGACATAAAACCTCATTTCAAAGTTAACAGATAAAACAAAAATTTTTTTATAATTAATAAATATTTTTAAAATAATTAGCGGTCATTCTTTGGAAAGCATATTGTTGATTTATGAAAGCTTTTATTTAGAACGATAGGGTTGTGCCTAAACTAGGTTGATTATGGAAGGTTCAATAGTTCATAAGCATTCATAAGCATCAGTGGTTCCCACTGATCTAGAGAAGCAAAATTCTCCCTGACTACAATTTTTAAACTATACTTATAAAAATTTTGGCTCTCATTGAACCATATTATCATTTAAATTAACCGCGATTTTAATATGGTGATAAAGTAATACATATTATTGCACTTTTTCAATAGTCCATAAACATTGGGAACCACTGATCTAGAGAAGCAAAATTCTCCCTGACTGCGATTTTTAAGCTATACTCATAAAAATGTTGGCTCTCATTGAACCATATTATCATTTAAATTAACCGCAATTTTAATATGGTGATAAAATAATACATATTATTGCACTTTTTCAATAGTCCATAAACATTGGGAACCACTGATCTAGAGGAGCAAAATTCTCCCTGACTACGGTTTTTAAACTATACTTGTAGAAATTTTGGTTCTCATTGAACCATATTATCATTTGAATTAACCGCAATTTTAATATGGTGATAAAATAATACACATTATTGCACTTTTACTAAACTTGATTACTAAAGAGAAAAATAATTGAAATTGAGGTTTCAGTAATTTTGCCTTATTCCTAAAATGAATCAATATTTCTACGAACGAATCAATATCTCTACGAATTCTAAAATGAATCAATACTTCTATGAATTCTAAAATGAATCAATATTTCTACAACGTTGTTTTTTACGTAGATTTAACTTTTAAATCTAGTTTTTTCTCATTTTTTGGGGGGAATTATTAATATAAAGCAATTTTTCTGAAACATTAATATTGGTTAATAATACCGGGGGACCAATTTTTGTTTTCGGTTGCATGAGAGTTTTAAACAGATATTAAAGACTTTCGTATTGCTGATTTGAATCATTAATCGAGATATCGTTCAAAGCTGCAGTTTTTTAAATTTTTTTAAAATGATATTTTTAGTCTACTTCTTTTTATCGAAATGCAAAAGTTTAGAAACGTTACACATATATCTGGAAGCTGCATAAATATTGAGACAAACTTCTTCGGGGGGGGGGTCGAGGAGCATAATCACAATTAAAATTGCATAGGAACCCATAACCGTAAATGTCGTCGTACACCGGTAGGGGCGCTTCTCGATTATGAATTGTTTCTTCCTATGCTTCCATAATATAGTGGTGTTGGGTCATTATAGGGGCGTCGTGTACGACGCTCTCGGGCATGGCTTCCTATGTAGTTTTAATCCTGATGATGCGCCTCAACCCCCCTAGAAGTTAGTCGCAACATTTATCGCGACCCCCTGACAACGTTTTTAAGCTTGTTAATTTCAGCAAAAAATAGAATAAAAATGACCTTTTAAAAAACTCTCTAACTTTAAGAGCGAAACTAATTTCAGATTTGAAATTCCCACCTCCAAATTATGCAAGACAAGGTATTTGCATAAATACTACAAAAATTGTTCAACAGTGAAATACTCTTGTTCTATGCCTTAATAGGGCAAATAAATTTCTTTCTTATGGCATAAGAGATATTATAAAAAAAACTGTTTATGCCATTAATCACCTTTATGCCCGTTTTTTACTTTATTGGATTATTTATTTTATGTTTTTACTTTCGACAATACATTAACATCGAAAAATCTCAAATCATTACAATAAATGGGGTAGAAAATTAATAAAGTGGTTTCGCCAGTGTGATACTCAAGTAAGAAAACCCAATCTTTAAAATTTTTTTTTTAAGTAATGGTATTCTTGACTGAAGCTATTAATTTAAAAAGCAACTGAGGTACTCACTTGAAGTGCCAAGGCCAGAGACTTAAAGTGCCTTTAAGTTTAGCATTAAAATTACTGACGTAGACACTTACACGCTGTTTTTTCTATTAAAAAAAGGCTCTTTTGTAATTAATTTTATCGTTGGCCATTAACCCGATAGAGAGAATTACGCAAATAGTTTATCACATATTTATAAAATAAGCTTTTGTTTTAGTTAAACGGAAGATAAGGTAGCCACTTTATAAATATTTGTAATAACTATGATAAGCTTTATTGAAATTTTTTAAACACTTTTAAATGCTTTAAAAATTAAATTTGTTCACAGAAAAAAAATTGTGTTAAAACTATAGTACTGTTCGGCAATGAAATTTCTGTTAGAAGCCACTTTATAAGCATTCGAATAACTATAATAAGTGTTATAGAAAAATCTTTTAAACACTTTTAAATGCTTTAAAAATTATATTTGTTGACAGATAAAAAATTCTGTTAAAATTGCAGTACTGTATGGTGATGAAATTTCTGGTAAAAAAATTAATTCTGGTTAATTGATTCAAAATATACCGTATTAAAATCATTCGATAATTTTTCATTTATACGGTAAGCGGTTTACCAGAATTCTGGTTTTCAGAATTATAATACGTTTTATCCCACATTTATTAAAAGAAATTGAAAACAGAAAGATAAATTTTATTGAATGAATGATTTTTTTTATCTTGTTCTAAAGTATTATGATAAAATTACCAAATTTTACCACATTTACCAAGTTTAATCATACGCTATAAAACAAATTTTATCGTCAATTTTACCATAAATATTACCAAAACGCTTCGGTTAAAATTTTCTGAATTTTTTGGTGTTCCCATAGAACCAGAAACACGATAAACTTTGATGCATTCTGGTAGTTTCGACCATACTTTTTTCTCTCCATTGTAAACATTTTTTAAAAAAATTGAGCAAAATCTCATTCGTGTAATTTAACAAATTAGATCAGCTTAGAGATAAAAACTAATTTTGAATTCAGGACAAAGTATCAACTCCTAACTTTCAAAACCAATTGCATTACTTTAAAATTGAAAAAAAAAAATATAATTATCTTAATTGTGGATTATTAAAAAATATACCAAGTTTAATTTCTTAAGTATATTTTTAACTCTTTACCATTAGAGATACCATGAAAAGCTCTAAAAAGTTCGATTTCTAAATTTTCAATATTTGAATTTTTTTCAAACCTATTTATTTCTAGATTTCTATAATTTGAAAAAAGAAACCTAACAAGCAAGACATCCAAAGTTGTATTATATGAGAGTTAGAGAATACACATATAGAATTTTCTATTATAAAATGTTTATTCGTGATAGAAATTGCAGTGACGCTTCATGAATAAGTTGATACATTGGTTATAATAAATTAAGAAAAAATCACAAAAATGACTGTAACTTAAATTATGCATAGACTTTTATGAAATTGGTACACATTATAGTTCACATAACCTAACAAATTTCATATAACCTAACAGCATAAATAAAACCTAACAAGTTGTATTCTATATAATACATCCTAATTTGTATTATATATGAATTTGAGAATACGTATAAGAAATTTTATAACATAAAATGTTTATGTGAGAAAGATATTGTAGTGAATCTTCGGGAAAAGGTTGATACACTGGTTATAATAAATTAAGAAAAAATCACAAAAAATGACTAGAACTCGAATTTTGCATGAAACTGGCTCACAATATAGTTCACATAACCTAACAAATTTCACATAACCTAACAACCTAAAAAAACATAAAAAAGCATAAAATGACATGACAAGTATTAAGTAGACAATTATGGTGCTACAGAAATCAGCTTATGTATTAAATAAATAAATCAGATGTGTATCTTAAGAATAGTACATGCAGTGGGGAGTATAATCATCACCGGCAGCAATACAGCACATATAGCTATCTGGGATGCTTTTAATTATGTTCTATCTAGTTCCGTTGGACGTGCGAGTTATTTCCCTTGCAAATCAGTTAGTTCTGAGGAGGAGGAGGATTGAGAGCTTCTTAAAGCATTACGCATTACAAACATGGTTGATAGTATTGGTGTCCAGGCTTGTAATACGTCCGGTGATTGAGTTGGAAACTCCATGCTCTGATTTGTTGGCTGCTGAAGACAATGATCAACAAACATTCACCCTCCCACAGACTTTGCCTCTTTGGTATGCCTCTTTTACGCATATTTGATTGATCGGGTTCCAGGTTTTCTCCAAATGAAACAGCACCTGCTATCACTTTGGAGGCTAAAACGGGTCTTATCAGTGACAAGAACAACTCTCCATTGGCCACCCGTCCAATAGACTTGTTGCTGTTCCCGCCTCAAACGTTCCCTTCTATGGCGTGACGAAAGTGGCCTTTGCGCACAGTATAATGCTGACACCAATCTTGGCTGCATTAAGAGAGAATCTAAGCTGACTCGGAATTGCGGTTCTATTCCTTCGTGAACATAAGGACAAATATCGGTCATAGGCACTCATTGTAGCATTTGGTTGTCCTTGGCAGAACCTTCTGGACGCTGAACCTGTGGTTAGAAATTTTTGCTTAAATCTATGAGCCACGGAAGGATCTTAAACCATTTCCTATTTCTATCTTAGTTTGTCCTGCATCTAGTCTTCCAATAGATCTCCATCACAGCTTTTGGGAATATTGATGCCTGGTACAAACCTGATACAAATTTCAGAAACACAGCAATATGCGCAGGCTTGCAATTAAACATACAATTTCATGCTCACTGCAGATGGTATTATTCCATTTCAGCACGATCAATTTACATATTGCAGTTTTATTTGGCAACTTTTATTTTACACATTGTATATTCAAAGATGATTAGGATTGGCTTATTTTTGGGAGAGATGTCGCTATATTTGAAATTTTTCTTTGATTTATGATAACCAGTATGTAAGAAAGAATGTGCCCTACATGTTCATACTTGCTCATTAATCGCAATTCTTTGATTACTTCATGTTAATTTAAAACTTATATTCTTTGTGTAATGCTTCAGCAATGCTTATTTTCTTCAATACCTTAACCTATTCACTACAGAAGTATAAAGGATTATAGCAAAAAAATATTTTACGGATCCTAACTTCTATTTTGCTGCCATAAGTCATAATAAGATTTAAAAAAAATTGAATTATGCTGCCAAGGGGCTAATAATTTTAGGAACTCATATGTGGTTCTCAGGTTTTGACTAAGTAAATAAATATAGCTAAATCATATAATTTTTAAAATGATTTATGTTTTTGAGAGCGTGGACTTAGCATTATTTTTCGAAATTTATTTTTGTTTATGTGGAATTCTACCAAAATATCTCACATGCTGTGTATCTATTTCAATTCTCAGAAAGCTTAAACTTTCATGAATGTTACAGTAGGGCAAAACTATAAATTTTCTTATAGCATTTTTTTAGAAGCTAAGAGGCGAAGGTCCACATATGCGGACAGAGGTAAGGAAGAGGTTACAGAAATAAAATGTTTTTATGGCACGGAATTGGATTAAATAAAAATGTCTACTGTACAACTTGTTACCTCAAGGGTATAACTAAGTATTTTAGTCTTGCACTGTTTAAAATAATATAAAAATATAAAACGATGTAAGTCAGTGCTATCCATTTTTACTGTGCTGTCGTGTTTTCTGTTGTTTATCAGATTTTGAACCAGGTATATTGAATTAATTTACATTTTTTTCAACGGTTTCTTTCCTAATCATAGCATTAGCAGCTCGGTGTTGTTTTGAAATTAAGAGTGAGTTAATTTTTTAAAATTTTTAGTTCAGTTCTATTTTGCACTAATTTACTTAACACACATATATATATATATATAATAAATAAATAAATACAGGAAAACATAAAGAAAATTAAGAAAAAAAAGTTTCATTTTCATATTGTTCACATGTTTCATATTGTTTCATATTGTTCATATAAGTTTACATTTTTTTTGTTAATTTATGTAATTTTCCCATGTGCAAATCCATTTCGGGTAAATCCATTTCCAAAATTATTTACTAAATAATTTCTTTGTTAATTTGTATAATCTTTCCATGTGCAAATCCATTTCGGGCAAATCCATGATTAAAATTATTTGCTAAAAAGTTCCTTTACTAAATAATTTTCTTTGTTAATTTATAAAATTTTTCCATGTGCAAATCCATTTCGGGAAAATCCGTGGGTAAAATTATCTACTAAATTGTTTCTTTGTTAATTTTTACATGCGCAAATCCATTTCAGGCAAATTCGTGTTAAAATTATCTAATAAAATTTTTTTTCTTTGATAATTTATATAATTTTTCCATGTACTAATCCATTTCGTGCAAATCCGGGGCTAAAATTATTTACAAAACAGGTAATTTATGTTTCTCTTTTCAGTTTTCTATTTTTTCTTAAAAAAACATCTTTTTTCTAAAACTATTTATGGTCAATTTTTAAAATTATCCAGTATATTACCTTGCGCACATCCATTTCTGGCCCATCCTTGGTAACTAGCAAATCAATGCACAGAATAACAAATCACTTCAGCTGTGCAGTAAGAACGGCACTTTAAAACCCTCTATTTACTGTTTGTCTACGATAGGTACTCTGACCGCCACAAAGTCTGCGACTGTCTGGTGCTATGGAAACAGGAAGAGGGCATTTTAGGGAGGGTAGCTTCGATGATAGCTTGTATGGGAAGTATACCAGATTGGCTGACTCAGCCACCAGTAGGAGACTTATTTAATCTGATTCAAGAACTTTTTTAAGATTCGCATGAATATTTCTTTCTTACTTGAAATGATTCTCTCTACTCCATCGGTTGTTATTTTTTAAATACAAAGGAAAAAAAGTGAACAAATTTTGACATTAAGGTTTTTTTTTTTAATTTTGCGATATTTATTATGAATTTTCAGTGATTGTTAGATGATTTAATTTCTAAACTTGCACATTTTTTAAAGCAGTTAATTTCTTTTATTATTTGAGTTTTCTGGAAAAAGTGAAGTGCTTAAACTTACTAACTACTATTGCGCTTTTGTTTTCATAATTTGTAATCTGGCAACCTTTTTGCGAAAACATTTTTAAATCATTCTTGAAAAATTTCCCGTCCATCATGCCGTCATTCAGTTCCTGTCGTCCATGTAAGTAGATCTGATTTCGCTACTCGCTATATAGTCCATTTTTTACTGTTTTTTCCCTTATTTTATTTTCTGTTTTTACATGTTTTTTTTACTTTTTGTGTTCTATTTTATTTGTTGTAATTTTTGTAAAAATTTTTTTTCGAGTGCTCCTCATACTATTGTATTAATATATTTTGCTTTAGCTTTATTAATACAATATCAGTAAGCCCTCTGTTTTGCGGATATAATCGTTTGGGCTGATGAAAAGATTATTTCTTTTTTTTCCGGTTTTTTAAATAAACTTTAATCCTTTTTTTTAAACTGTTATATATATAT